GAATGAGGCTGCCTGCCTTCAAAGTTTAATTTTTTTTTTTTTTTTTTGATTATTTTTCTTCTAACTGCAGAGGTTCCTAGATTGTTTTTTTTTTTTTTTTTTTTTTGGAGGAGAGTCCTTTTTTCTGGCCTCGATAGTCACCCTGGATTTTTTTTTTTTTTTTTTTAGTGGCTCAGACAGCAGAGGACAGAGGACAGTTGTTTTCCTTTTTTTTTTTTTTTTTAAGGCCTATTCAATCTTGCTCTGATTCTGAGGTTAGTATGGGTTTTTTTTTTTTTTTTTCCTTTGGAAGGGTCTCTTTCACTTCTATGGGGCTGTGAGCTCTGAGCTGGTCTGATCCCACCTGCTTATCAGGCACTGAATAGTCTCACTGTTCTGAAGGCTTTTTTTTTTTTTTTTTCTTTTCTGTAATCCTTGGGGTTTATTTTTATTTTCATATTTCTTCCATCATTTCAATGGGATTTGGGGAAGAAAGAGGATGTAAATATATTTTGACAAGCTAAAAAAAAATTGTGATTATTCGTTGGTTTGGGGAGAAAAATGCCTGTTTTACAGTTCATGTAGCTGATTTCAAATACTTTTATTCTTTCTTTACAGTTGTACTCCTTCCATCAGAGTATTTTTTTTTTTTTTTTTTGACCCTCAACCTGGGTGTCGCCTCTGCTGATGACTCCCTAGGCTTATGCTGAAGCCTCCAAAAGGCCCTGCAGTTATAAGGGGGCAGCCAACCAGGGCGCTTTTTTTTTTTTTTTTTTCTAACTGTACTGACCTGACTCCTTCAGATGGGTGTGAGAAATTTTTTTTTTTTTTTTTCCTAAAGAATTCTTTGTTTATGACATAGGTTAGAGGAGGGGATTTTTTTTTTTTTTTTTACAAAAACACCAAAAAAAGAATTCTGTTTCTCCACAGTCTATCGTTGCTGATTTCATTCTGAAATTCTTAAATCAGATAAACTTCTTGTCCTTTTTCTCCATTTTTTTTTTTTTTTTTTTATTTCAGATCAACCATAGTGGAGTTATTTAGATGTAAAAATTTTTTTTTTTTTTTTTTTGTCAAAAGAAATTAAGAATAGCACTCCCCACACCAGATCTTTTTTTTTTTTTTTTTTAAAGCACACAAAGAAAAATAACATTCCACATTCAACGGTCTCTTTTTTTTTTTTTTTTTCCTGCCAGAACCTATTCAATCTGAATTGGCCATGAGTAGTATTTTTTTTTTTTTTTTTTACCTGAGACTCTTTACTATTCAAGGCAAAACACAGCCCTGAGCTCTGGCATTAAAACAGCAACCAACAAATTGGTATTATCCTTGCAAAATTCAACCAAACATCTGCAGCCAAACACTCTGAGACAAAAAAGGCACTTCAGATTGGAATAAAATATAAAATTTTTTTTTTTTTTTTTAATCAAATGTTTCAGTGTACGTTTACTGAAAGATTGTATGCCACAGATGGATGAGAATATGAGACAAAAAGTCACAAATCATTTCATTTTTGAGCTCTGAATTTTTTTTTTTTTTTTTGTGGAACTAGAAATATTGCTGTGGCCATTTAAAAAAATATTATTTTTTTTTTTTTTTTTTACTTTGATATTTAATTTTTCAATTTTAGTTTAACACATGTGTTTTTTTTTTTTTTTTTAAAGTTTATATCTGGAAAAGCCTCCATTATGGACTACTACATTTTTTTTTTTTTTTTTTATGAATTTTCCTTTTTACATCCCATATAAAGAGGATGCATTTTTTTTTTTTTTTTTTTTCATCTAAGCTCTTCATTTGATACATAAACTAAGTCCATTGGTAGTAAATGACTTGCCTAAGGTCAAGAACCCCAAGGATCCTTAGCAAAATGTTTTAATTCTCCTAAGATATTCCAAAAATAATATACTGAAAGCCACTGATCCAAAATATTGATTTATTTTTTTTTTTTTTTTTTTCTGATGTTCTGCAGATTATCGGCAGGTATTTGGCAAATTGGGTTTTTTTTTTTTTTTTTGTTAACAAATGTTGGGTTAAACAAAGACTCTTAGCTATATCATTTTTTTTTTTTTTTTTCCAAAAGGAAAATACAGTAGACAATTGGTTTTGCAAACGTATTTTTTTTTTTTTTTTTTTTTCTACCCACAGAACACAGCATACAACCAATGAGAAATACTTTTTTTTTTTTTTTTTTCTTATCTTGCTTCCTGAGAATTTATCATCATAACACCACCAGAAGGATTTTTCTAAAATCTGACCTGGTTATGTAGCCCCTCAGCTTATACCCTTTCAACATTTTTTTTTTTTTTTTTTGGTCAAGCCCACGCTTTGGCATGGCATAATCCTCCATTACCTTTTTTTTTTTTTTTTTACCTCACCTGGAACTTTATACTCCCACGTTGTGGTTTACATCTTTTTTTTTTTTTTTTTCACCTGAGCGATACCACAAATTCACATCCATTAACGTTGGGGTTTTTTTTTTTTTTTTTTTCCTCAAGAGGAATATCTGAGTCCCCAGTAGTCTCTGGGTATTTTTTTTTTTTTTTTTAGGAGAAATGACCTCTGGGTTTTTTTTTTGTTTGATTTTATTTTTTTTTTTTTTTTTTTTTAAAAAACCCTTCTGAGCCTGGAGACAGCACAAAAGAGAGCTTTTTTTTTTTTTTTTTCATAGGCCACAGTTTGCTAACTCGTGAATTAGAGGACAGCACAATTCAGGATATTCAAGGTTGCTCACAATGAGTACTGCCTAGAACATGGAAGGAATATGAAGGGTGCTCCATGCCTAAAAGCCAGAAGCCAAGAAGCACAAGGGGCTCTAACAGATGGTTTTTTTTTTTTTTTTTAAATAACCAGGCAAGACAACCCCTGCTCATGCCCCTTCCCTCATTTGAGACCAGATAGCTGAGAAAGGAGTAATGTTTCACAGGTGGAAACAATGAATTAGTTTTTTTTTTTTTTTTTTTATTTCTAGGTGCTAGTAACATTCAGGAAAAAAAAAAAATATTTTTTTTTTTTTTTTTAAGACCAGCCATAAATGGGTCCCAAACAGCATCATCCCATATTTTTTTTTTTTTTTTTTAAAACATTATCAAGCTCAGCTGTAGCAATTACATTCTCCCTTTTTTTTTTTTTTTTTTTGAATGCAGACCAGCTGGCAGAGAGTCTCGCACAAAAATGAGCTTTTTTTTTTTTTTTTTGCTGAACACTGGAGAAATGCAAATTAAAAAGACCAACAAAAATTTTTTTTTTTTTTTTTGAAGAAACAAAAAAGCAGTATTAAATATAATTATTATTCTTGTTTTTTTTTTTTTTTTTAGAACCATGAAACGGAAGAACTATTACAAAAATCCAACATATTTTTTTTTTTTTTTTTTATTATACACATATTTGTACATAGTAAATATTTTCAAAGTATATTTTTTTTTTTTTTTTTAAACTGTTGAAACATTTATTAGAAGGACTGAATAAGCAACCCAATGTACAAGTTTTAGAGAAATACATTAAACAGAGAAATTATCCAAGAACTTAGAATGATTTTTTTTTTTTTTTTTAAGAAATGTTAAGAGACAAATGAATCCAACTGGAAGTTTCATTTTTTTTTTTTTTTTTTATAAGAAGAGAATAGAAAGAATGGTAGAAAGGCAATATTTAATTTTTTTTTTTTTTTTTTCCTAGAATAAAAAATACACATGAGTCAATAAGGCAAAAAAGTTTTTTTTTTTTTTTTTAGGATAAGTAAGGAAAACAAACACCTGCACACACATGTACATTTTTTTTTTTTTTTTTTACAGTAAAATTTCTGAAATATTAAAGTAGAGAAATAACAAATTTTTTTTTTTTTTTTTTTAAATCAAAGGATTAAGAAGCAGAATAATATAATACTTCTATTTTTTTTTTTTTTTTTTAAAGAACAATGAAGCAGTATCTTCAAAGGCCTGAAGAACAAGTTTTTTTTTTTTTTTTTTTTATATCTAGCTAAACTAATCTGCATTTAACATAACAATCAAAGGACATTTTTGGATATGCAAGCACTCAAAGTTTGCACCAAAGTTTACCAACATGGGTTTTTTTTTTTTTTTTTTAAACAAACTATTCACGATAGCAGTGATATATAAGAAACATTGTTTTTTTTTTTTTTTTTATTTTTTTTGTTTCCCAAATAAGAAATGAGCACGGGAGAAGTTTTTTTTTTTTTTTTTTAGAAGTTAAAGGAAAAATAACACATGAGAAGTGGGGAGTGGGTTTTTTTTTTTTTTTTTAATATCTTAAGCTTCTTAGTTTAGCAACAAAGGGACTTAGAATTTTTTTTTTTTTTTTTTTTCTAACTGCTTCTAAAATTAATAAGTTTTAAAATTTTAAATTTTTTTTTTTTTTTTTCAGTAGAGGGAAAAATAAAGTATATGTATACACAGACATAGCAGAAGGCATAGGAGGGCTGTAGAACTACTCATGCAGGTCCAAATGCCCTGTCTACTTGTTTTTTTTTTTTTTTTTTACTGCCTCCATCTAGACTGTTCCTAAAAACCTCACATCTCTCTTTTTTTTTTTTTTTTTTCCCACCATACACTGAACAAATTTATATTACAGTATCTATAATTTTTTTTTTTTTTTTTTGTTTACAAACCAATCTTGCTCATTAGGCATAAATTCTTAAGGACTAGAACAGCCTCCTCCTCATTTCTACATCCCTTCCTATATCACAGTTACTCAATGTTTGTTGAATGGATGAAAATAGAGGCAATGTTTACATACTTAAAACAACTAGAGAATTGATTGTACATGACCAAGGTTATAACTTATAATAAATTATTTGTTGCAAGAGGCTAAAATCCACGTCTAAGTCACTATCGCATTTCTGACAAAGTCATTCTTGGATATTTTTGTTAAGTTTTTTTTTTTTTTTTTTTTAGGATGTAGGAGGACGTACTAGACAATATTAAGGTGTCTTCCTTTTTTTTTTTTTTTTTTTTAGAGAATAACTTTAAGAGACACTTTGACTGATTGTCCCTGAAATCGTACAACACCTGCAGAAGCTCTATGTCTTCATGGTTTTCAGACCCAGGCGTATTCTCCATCAATATGGCGGACATCACTCGCACATTCATTTTCACCATATCCAATTCACTGTGCAATTTTCCAATCTGTAGAGAGCAACACAATCACCAGTCAGTGTGACACACAGAGAATGTGTTCACATTCTTTGTTTCTTGCCCCCATGGGACATTTGCTGGAAGAAAAAATACTTTTTTTTTTTTTTTTTTTTTCAAACTTAAATTTAATTTCATATAAATATACACATAGTTATTTTACAATGTATACCTTGTCACCTTCTAAAAGGACTTGAGATCTCTTGTAATAAACCCCAAAATATGCTTTAGGAATTTTAAAAATGAAAGGAAAAAAAAAAGGTTAGAACCAAATATGAAGAGGGGAGAAGTACTAGGTACCTAGCAGAAGAAGGTACCAGAAACCTGGATAAAATTTTTTTTTTTTTTTTTAGTTTCTTGGCAACTGACAGGATAAAAGAAAAACAAATGAGGTTTTTTTTTTTTTTTTTGTATTAAAGAAGAAAGAAGAAATAAATCTTTTTCCTGTATTATTTTTTTTTTTTTTTTTGTCACATGAATTTTTATATAAGAAAAAAATAATAATACAAAGTTTTTTTTTTTTTTTTTTTTACAGCGGAACGGAAATGGGCTTCATACAATAATTGCTTATTTTTTTTTTTTTTTTTCTGATATACACAAAGAAGTAAATACAATTCAGTTGGCATAATTTTTTTTTTTTTTTTTTCTACCATTTACAAAACTCTCTGAAATATGTGACAGCCCTACCTTTTTTTTTTTTTTTTTGCTCATGGACACTAGATCCAGTCCACAGTCAAGGCTCCACAAAGCCATGAAAGCCACTAGGCAAGCACAACTCTTACAAAGTTGGGCTTTGGAAGTAGACATTTTTTTTTTTTTTTTTCCTTCTTGGAACTGAACTATAAGTCACATAGTATGACTAAGCTTTTTTTTTTTTTTTTTTAAAATAAATGTACCTACATCTCAATGTTGTTAACCAGAAAGTTTTTTTTTTTTTTTTTGTGCTTACAAATCAGGAAAACACATCAATAAATACAGTGATTGCTGTTGTTACCTGTTCTGGGACCAATGTAATAGTCGAGTTCTTTGGAGCAATTACAGAAGAAAGAGCTGGTGCAGTAGGGACAGATGTTGGAGGATTTGATGAGATTTGAGCAGTCTTTTTTTTTTTTTTTTTTTAATATTATTATGTGAATTAACATAGCCACCCAACGCCAAGTTTTTTTTTTTTTTTTTTCTCAAGCACTCTCAAACAAAGTCCTGTGTACAGGGTATCTGCTTTTTTTTTTTTTTTTTCTACACAACCCGTTCAGCATTTTGTGAAGAATGCTAAGCAAATTTTTTTTTTTTTTTTTAGCAGGTATTCAACAAAAGGTGAATTATCATTTACAATTTAATTTTTTTTTTTTTTTTTTTTTTTTTTTTTTACCCAGGGTTTAAGTGATAAACTGCCATGTTTTTTTTTTTTTTTTTTCTCTTTGGACTGTTAATAACAAATGAGAGCTCAATTCATGTTTTTTTTTTTTTTTTTTCAGCTGACAAGGCATCTCCTTCTCCATCAGTGACCCTCCTGGGGTCAATGCCACATCTCCAACCTTGGGTGGCGAGGTGAAAGCTCAAGGCTCTAGGCCAGTGCTTCTCAACATAAATGTGCAGAAAAAACACCTGGAAATCTTGTAAAAAGGGAGGTTCTGATTAGTCTAGGGTGGAGCAAGCCAAACAAACTTTCACACTTTAAGTAGCAAAATCCCTTTTTTTTTTTTTTTTTTGAGATATTGCAATATCCTTCTAATAAATTCATCTTTTTGCTTTTTTTTTTTTTTTTTTAGGGTTGTCTCCTGCAATGAGAAAAGACCCAAGTGATATACTACTATACTCTCCATGGGTCAAAGAAAGGCCTCCTACCTCTTGTCTTGCTGTTTCAGCCTCTGCTTCTGAGGGAGGAAACTGAACGCCTTTCTTAAGCAGGTCGAGGTATACTTCTTTGACTTCGCTTACATCCACACCTCCTGGGAAACCCTGTGACCAAGCCTGAGTTCAAGAGATTTTTTTTTTTTTTTTTTAAAACAGCAACAAAACCAAAACACAATTCTTTTTTTTTTTTTTTTTTTTTTTTTTTTTTTATTGCCTGGGCTGGAGTGCAATGGCACAATCTCAGCTCACTTTTTTTTTTTTTTTTTTGGTTCAAGCGATTCTCCTGCCTCAGCCTCCCGACTAGCTGGGTTTTTTTTTTTTTTTTTCCACACCCAGCGAATTCTTTTGTATTTTTTAGTAGAGACGGGTTTTTTTTTTTTTTTTTAGGCTGGTCTCGAACTCCTGACCTTGTGATCTGCCCACCTCGGCCTCCCAATGTACTGGGATTACAGGCGTGAGCCATCACGCCCGGCTGAAAACACAATTTTTTTTTTTTTTTTTTTAAATGAGAGATCGATAATTATGTACCCCACTCAGAAAGAGAATTTTTTTTTTTTTTTTTATGGGCAAAATGCTCATTTTCAAAGGCTAGGAAAATACAAAATTTTTTTTTTTTTTTTTTTATTTTTTTTGAGATGGAGCCTTGCTCTGTCGCCCAGGCTGTTTTTTTTTTTTTTTTTCTCGGCTCACTGCAAGCTCAGCCTCCCGGGTCCACGCCATTCTCCTGCCTCAGTCTCCCAAGTAGCTGGGACTACAGGCGCCCGCCACCACAGTTGGCTAATTTTTTTTTTTTTTTTTGTATTAGTAGAGACGGGGTTTCACCGTGTTAGCCAGGATAGTCTCAATCTCCTGACCTCATGATCCACCCGCCTCGGCCTCCCAAAGTGCTGGGATTACAGGCATGAGCCACTGCGCCCGGCCCAAAATATTTTAAATCAGACTTCCATGCCTCAAAATCTTGAAGAAACCCTAGGATATATACTATCAATTGTTTTTTGCTGCTCTGAATCCAAAATTAACAGATTCCAAAACAACATCAGTAGCTCTTTTTCCAAGTAACCTTGAACTAGTCAGTTAGTTGGAACAGTTTCCCAACCTGCAAAATGAACATACACATCATTGTCTTTCCTATTTGACACAGATAAAATAGAAACTGAGAGGAAAGTAGGGAAATGACTACAAATCTTCAGAAAAAGTGTACCATCCAATGCCAAAAAATTATTATTACACAGAAACTAAAAATAGCAAAAATGCTTTTCTGGCTCAATCCAAGACATATAAAAGATAAGCAAAACAATCAGGAGGTAAGCTGTGAAATCCCTAATCTTAGAAATTTACCATCCCATGAGGTATACAACAGACTTACCTTAATGAAATTCAAGATTCTATTCTGAATGTCTAATGGCAAGTTGTATCTAGGATTCAGTAGCTTAACTAAATTCTCTTTAACAAATTCCTTCTTCACAATCAGAGACTGGAAACTTGGACCACAGTTCTGCACGCACATGTCAATAAGCTAAATTAGAAAAATAAATTAAACATTATATTTATCTGGCAAAACCACCTCCTAAAAATGTAAGGGAAAAATTGCTAAATAATAATTTCCACCAGCATACTAATTAACAAACATAATTTAGTATCTACTAAAATATATGGCAAAATGTTAGGTTCTGGGGATATGTGGAAATATGAGCATAATGTAACAGTCTAGAGGACAGACTTATCGAGGAGCCCCAGCACATCCAAAAGGGAATTAACCAGCAATGCAGAGTACTAAATGCTAAATGCTGAAGGGACGTGCAGGCCAAACATATGAGCTACAGATGGAATAATATCTGTCCCAGTTTACCCAGGGTAGCACAGGTATATTCCCAATGTCCTGTTTATTAATGATGACACACCCTTTCACTTTCAAAAATGTCCTGGTTTGGATGATGAATTACACAGTCACCCTAGCTATAGGTCCTTATAGGCAAGAGTGATTATTTAGGGCTAGGTGGTCTTACAAGACTTTTGGAAAAGGCTAATTGGAAGCTGGGCTTTGCAAAACGGCTAAGAACAGTAAAAATGAGTATAGAGCTATATTCCAGACAGAGAAATTGTATGAAAACTATATAAATGTGGAAAAGTGGGTAAGTTATGAAGGGGGAGATAAGTACTCTGGTCTGTCTCCAGCAGAGGCATCTTGATAAAGGTAAATTGGGGACACTGGAAAGATAGGGTAGATAAAGTCTGTCCAGGTTGTAGAGAAGTTTGTGTGGCAGTGCAAAGGGTGTGGATATTATCTTGAAGGCCCTAAGAAGTTACGGAGGGTCTCTGTTAGTTTGTCACCGTCACACCTTTACCCTGAAATTGAGGAAAAGGTTAATGTGTGCAAAGTACTATTCTGGATAGGTTGTCAGGCAGCACTCTGCAAAGGCAAGTGGAGGGAGAAGAAACCTGGAATGACAGAAAGATCCACTAGCAACCCACTAGTTCAGGCATGATATACAAAAGGACTAAACTAAGATGATGTGGGTACAAGAAAAGGAGTCACGACAGAATTATGAAGGAAGAACTTTGAATGACAATGCTGGTCAAAAAAGGAAGATGACTGAAAATTAAGTAACTCTCATTCTGCATGAGGACCCCTGTGATGGAAATTTGGAAGAGGGGGTGGTATGGCTGGTCTAGGGGTGGAAATGATGGGCTGAAATTTAGATATTTTGAGTTCAAAAGATAAGGGACATTTAAGTAGGTGTTTAGCAGTGAGCTGGACACACACAGCTATAATTCAAGAGAGTGAAGGACCAAAAGTGAGTTATCAAGGCTGCCTACAATGAGAAGAGAGGAGGAAGGGCTGAAACACTGGGGTTCACCTATTACACAGGCCAACGAAAATCCAAGGAAGGCAATCAAAGAGTAACTGACAGAAAATGAAGCACAAAATCAGGAGTACATAAGGCACCCCTTTGGTAAAGTCAAAAGAAAAGTTTCCTGGAGGATGGGGTGTTATACAGTTAAGAATATGCACTAAGGAACATCAGTTCCCTTGAAAAACACATTTGCGATAAAGCAACATGAGCAGAAACTTGACTAAGAAAGAATGAGCCAATACTGAAGAACTGCATGCAGAAAGTAGATTTCTAAAAGTAATCTAAAAACAAAATTAAATCTTTAGTTTCCATGCTACAACCTCAAATTAGAAAGGTCATAGAAACCATTAACATGACCAGGATAATCATCTCTGCAGAATAGAAGCCCTAAAAATGGACTTCATGCCATGCTTTGTCTCTGTATTTTTAGTCTGTCTTTAATGGAAATACATAAAGTGGCAGCAGGTATGAACGCTATAGTTTTAAAGCACTGTGACCAAGAAGGTAATCAGAAAATACAGAAGGTGCGCACATGTAGCTGTGTGAAACACAGCGAAAACCTTTAAGGCAAAGGAAAATAAAAACAAAATCCAAAACATACTAAGATGAATCTATACTACTGCAGGTTGTTAAGACAAAGTTGGAAAGTTGAAATAATATGCCATTTAGCTTGATGGATGATTATAATGAGTATAATGAGTTGTTAATGGGTGAAATGCTGAAAGGAAACGTGCCTCTAGCTCAATGTGAGTTTACAGAAATATTTCACCTAACTAGTTGTACAGTCTTAGGCAAATACCTAGGCTCCAAGTCTCATTCTCCCTAGGCATATATATATATATATTTTTTTTTTTTTTTTCTTTTTGACACAGGGTCTCACTCTCTCATCTAGGCTGGAGTGCAGTGGTGCAATCTCGACTCACTGCAACCTCTGCCTCTCGGGTTCAGGTGATTCTCATGCCTCAGCCTTCTAAGTAGCTGAGATTACAGGCATGCATCACCATGCCCAGCTAATGTTTGTATTTTTAGCAGAGATGGGGTTTTGCCACGTTGGCCAGGCTGGTCTCGAACTCCTAGCCTCAGGTGATCCACCCACCTCAGCCTCCCGAAGTGCTGGGATTACAGGCATGAACCACCACACCTGGCCCTCACAAACTAATTTTTATCTTTGGTGCAACAAGATTTTATGATAATGAGTAACACTCCCAGGAGGAACATGCACAAAATCAAAGAGTCAACATGAAATGCTAAAAATGTGAACATCTGGAGATTAGCAGTCATGCCTTTTGTGTTTTCCCATTAGAATCAAGAATGCCAGGACTAATTACTTCTACATCACCTCCTCTATTATATCACCAGAACCTCTTTCACCCTCCAACTCACTCAGATAAGTAATAAAACCTACTGTGGCAAATTAAATTAAATTAAATATGTTGTTTTCACATATTCTGAAATTGAACTTGGTGCAAATGTGTTCAGATAACCTATATTTGGAAATAAGACAAATAAGAATCCATAATCTGAGGTGGGATTGAAAACTCTGGAGCCAAGGAACAAAGAGAGACTGAAGTGGGTGACTCCAGGCTTCACCGATCTCTTGGGCTTAGCTGAGCAAATCACTTATCCTAAGCCTCAGTGTCCTTATCTGCAAAATGGACATAATATCTCCCTCTAGAGACTTGTTGAAAGGCCCAAATGAAACATAACAAAGAGCGTGACACAAAGCAGGACCTCAATACATGGCAACTATTTAGATCATCTTCCACGGAGAACTTCCTAGCAGGACTGAATGTGATGATTAGCTGACCTAAGTATTTTAAGAGAGGGCTGGAATCAAAAGAGATTTTCTCACTGTAAATTTCCAAACCAGGCACAGTGACAACAACCAGGTTTCAGGGCCATCAGAGCTACACCTGGGCCATGAATAGTGCCTTCACCAAGGTGACTACCCCAGCCTAGAGGCCTCAGTCTTCTCAGTCCCTCCAATTGCAACAAGCTCCTGAGGGGACAACCACATGGTTTTGTTTTGCTTTGTTTTGTTTTGTTTCGATACAGAGTCTCGCTTTGTCACCCAGGATGGAGTGCAGTGGCACAATCTAGGCTCACTGCAACCTCCGCTTCCTGGGTTCAAGCAATTGTCCTGCCTCAGCCTCCCGAGTAGCTGGGATTACAGGCACATGCCACCATGCCCGGCTAATTTTTGTATTTTCAGTCAAGACGGGGTTTCACCATGTTGCCCAGGCTGGTCCCTAACTCCTGACCTCAAGTGATCCACCCTCGTCGGCCTCCCAAAGTGCTGGCATTACAGGCATGAGCCACTGCACCCAGCCTGATATTTTGTTTCACTGGTCAATTTGCCAAAGGAGAATAAACTAAGCTTCTCCTTCATTATTATTTTCAACCACATAATTTTACACATCTTATGAAACCCCTGAAGCTCACTGCTTAGGGGGTGCTCCACAAAGGCCTATTAACTAATTGATTCTTAGGAACCTGTTCAACCACTTTCTATTTGACACTAATAGTAGCCTCTTGCTGAGATTTATCACAATTGACTCATTCAAGAAGAGAATACTTCCTGGCTCAGAGTAATAAAGCCTGGAAACAAAATTCTGCTGAAACACAAAACTGCTCTACCGACTGATGGTAGGAAATCATAGTACAGTCAGATTCCATTAAAGCCGAATCAAGGTTAACACGTCCATGGAGAACTCAACATGACAGATAACATAAAGAATATTTATAACTGAATTTGACAGGCTCTCATCACTTTACATTAATAAAATGGAAATGTCATATACAGGGATTACTTTTTAAAGAGTTTACTAGTAAACTTATAATTGCGTTTGACAGACATGGGTGACTCCTTCTGTGACTAATTCCCCTCATAATTAAATTTGGCTTATGTGAATATTAAAGTCAGTTTTGAGGCCCTAAGCACACCTCTGCAAGGCAGGGAGTAGTCTGAGGTGAGGTGACTGGACCATTAAATACACCACTTGGGGAAATCAGCATGAAGATATGAAGAGTCAAAGGCCTATTTAAAGAAAATCCAAGGAAAACCCAGGTGTTTTTCCTGACTTTAATGTACTGTGACCCCAAGGATGAAGGTGTATTCTGACTGGTGACTCTTGCCTGTTTTTAGGCACAGGCTTTAGATTCTCTTGTTCGCACACATTGGACAGAACCCATAAGGTAAGGTAGCTACAGATCTGAGGTGGAACAGATCATGGGAACGGCAGCGAGCTGGTAGTCAGGCTTGAGAGATTAGACTACCTGATGAGAAGGAAGAGTGGAAGCCCAAAGAGAAACAGAGGGCCAGAGGCACAACACTCTGGAATAACCCAGCTTCCTCAAGGAGGGTCCCTGGTCCATCGTCATAGCGAGGGAACCATGATGGAAGAAGATATGGAGGCGGGATTAAGAAGCAACCACTGACACATCAAGTAGGCTTGGGCACAATGGAGGAAGCGGCAAACTGTTATGAATGGTGAACACCTGTAAAAAGCAAAATAATAATGCCCCATGCTGAAATAGAGAAGAGGGCATAAATTAGTCTTCTGCCCTTCTCTTCCTTACTCAATTCTCCTAACCTTTGGCACCCTTGAGATATCCCAGATATACCATGTGAACAGCTTATGTGAATATTAAAGTCAGTTTTGAGGCCCTAAGCGCACCTCTGCAAGGCAGTGAGTAGTCTGAGGTGAGGTGACTGGACCATTAAATACACAGCTTGGGGAAATCCGCATGAAGATATGAAGAGTCAAAGGCGTATTTAAAGAAAATCCAAGGAAAAGGGTACATCTACCCATCTTTCTACTCCCGTTCTACAGTACCTTCCATTAGCCCTTGAGTCTTCCCGGATACTAGGAGAGATGGGATTAGGTGTGTGTATGAGGGTGTGGTGCTTAATCATTAATCCAGTCAACATCTGATATACCTGGCCCTGTACTACACAGTAAGAAACTAAAGACACAAAGGAAACACAGTAGCCTGCTCTTTTAAGAGGCTTGATTGGTTCTGAGAAACAAAGAAGTATGAAGCAAGGGCATGGAATTTAGAATCTGAGGACTGGGATCAAATCTTGCCTATGCTATGTAATAGCCATTTTCATCTTGGAAATAAATCAGTTTCTCCTAGTCTCAATTTCTTCATCTGTGAAATGGAGTTAATAATAGAACTACTTCACAGGGTGGTCAAGAACATTGACAGGTGCCAGGCATTTCTATCAGTGACCCATCGTTCTGGGATTTCTACAGAAGTGCCTCACTCTTCTCTCCACAATCTCCTCCATTCTGTGACCTTCAAGAGTTAAGGATAGGTGAGAGGTTCAAAAAAAAAAAAAAAAAGTGAAGGGGGAAAATGCCTCTAAAACTATATTCAGATCCCAACGTGAAGGGTTTCTTTAATGATCAAATCATGAAGACCGTTCATTGCATTTCTGCTCATTCAGTGAGCCTATGCAAGATGTCCATTTTCTTCTACATGTAACTAGAAACCAGGAGCTATGCTCACATATGCCCCAAAGTCCTCTTGATAAAGACTAATGCTCCTAAGGCAGTGTGATGCTGGCTGATTAGTGCCGTGACCATGCACAGTCTTGGGCTGGGCTGAGATAAAAAAAGGCGTGCAGAATAAATCAGAAAGCTACACAGCTCACTCTCAGGCAGCAGGCAGGGCTTGCAACACATACTAAAGTAAAAAGGACAACTCACCAACGTGACTGAAGAGGTCATATGGCCAAGGATGGTGGGAAAATGGGAACACGTCAAATAAGAGTCCACACTTAAATAACAGACAATACAACACACAGGAGAATTGCTTAAACCAACATAGAACATTCTCCAAATCATGCCAGGCAGCAGAACTTGGTTGGAATTTAATGAGCTGAGAGCATCTCAGGATTTCACAAAGCTGTTCAAGTGAGGTAGAAAGCTAACAGGGAGGTATTTTTCAAAATTTCAATTCTCATCTTAAATTATGGTTAATTAATACATGCACAAACTTTATTATTATTATTTTTTTTTTTAAGAAGGAGTCTTGCTCTGTTGCTCAAGCTGGAGGGCAGTGGTGCGATCTTGACTCACTGCAACCTCCACCTCCTGGGTTCAAGCAATTCTCCTGTCTCAGCCTCCCGAGTAGCTGGGACTACAGGCACACGCCACCACGCCCGGCTACTTTTTGTATTTTTAGTAGAGACGGGGTTTCACCATATTGGTCAGGCTGGTCTCAAACTTCTGACCTCAGGGGATCCACCTGCCTCGGCCTCCCAAAGTGCTAGGATTATAGGCGTGAGCCACCATGCCCAGACACAAACTTTTTTTTTTGTTTTTTTTAAGAGTTGAGGTCTCTCTTTGTCACTCAGGCTGAGGTACAGGGGCATGATCATAGCTCACTGCCATCTTGAATTCCTGGGTTCAAGTGATTGTCCTGCCTCAGCCCCCTAAGTGGCTGGGGCTACAGATGCAGGCTACCATGTCTGGCTACTTTTTAAATATTTTGTAGAGACACGGTCTCACCATCTTGCCCAGGCTATTCTCAAACTCCCGGGCTCAAGCAATCATCCTACCTCGATGCTGGGATTATAGGCATGAGCCATCACACCCAGCCAATACACAAAGTTCTTCATCAGTTCACCATGTATAATACATGTTAACCACTAATTCCCATCTCCTGACCAAGAACAATTGATTTTTCAGGAACAAGCTCTTCCCGTGAAATTAAATGCTATTACAAAGAACTAAACTTTCTTTATTCTGCAATTCTCATAAATGAAGAGTTTTAACTCATACTGTACACAACTCTTAGGTCATCTATTAGCTAACCTATTAGTTTTCTCAGAATACTTGCTTCTTATTTTTTACCCAGGATTAAAAACGTAACTATAGCTTGAGAAATTGAGTCTTACTTATAAAATTAAAGTACTTACTGACAAGGTAAGTTGGATTTCTTTATGATTGTAGTTTTTGGAAATCCTTTTCTTCAAAGCTTTCACTGCATCTTTTGGCCTATGGTAATAAATACACTGAAATCACCAATTTAGGCATTGCTGAAAACAAGCAGTCTCTCTGAAAAGCAACATGCATTTGGAGAGAGGAATGGCTAAGGAGAAAACCAAGGCCTTGGTCCTACTGTGGGACCCTACATGAATGACTTCACTTCTTGAACCTAAATTTCTTCACACATACAGGCAGAAAATACCACCTACCCCCTTATGGGAATCAAATAAAATATTTTTGTACAAATCTATTACCTAGAAAGCACCACCCATGAAATGCACTCATTCCTGTATCCCTCTATCAATGCACAGAACCAACTTACAGGAAATGCAACTTCTGAAACAACGAATGTTACCATTTTAATTAAAACTATTAGTATTTCCTGAGCACCCTACAGACAAGGGGATGTAAGAGGAATTACAACAAACTAGGTCAGCTGCCAATACGCCACAATTTTACGTTACAAAGAACTGTTTGTATGGGTCCAAATTTAAGATTCTCTTTTTGTATTATCAATGAATTGGTATTATCAATGAAAATGTTCCCAGAGGAACTAAACATGGTAAATAGAATTATAGGAAAAAAACCATACACACTTAAAAGTACTAACCAGCCTGTAATCCCAGCACTTTGGGAGACCGAGACAGGCGGATCACGAGGTCAGGAGATCGAGACCATCCTGGCTAACACGGTGAAACCCTGTCTCTACTAAAAAATACAAAAAACTAGCCGGGCGAGGTGGCGGGCGCCTGTAGTCCCAGCTACTCGGGAGACTGAGGCAGGAGAATGGCGTGAACCCGGGAGGTGGAGCTTGCAGTGAGCCGAGATTGCACCACTGCTCTCCATCCTGGGCAACAGAGCGAGACTCCGTCTCAAAAAAAAAAAAAAAAAAGTACTAACCATAAGCACTTTCCATTTATTTATAATCAATAATTTTGATGTTTTCTTTATCAATATAAGCTAGACTAAGTCTCTTTTACTGTCAGTTATCACTTTAATATGCACAGGAAAATTACCAGAATTGTGTTCCGAAGAATAACTTGTAATTGACTACATGCAAACCAGTTTGTTCTTCTTAATGACTTTTTTCTTACAACTTCGATTCTCTAAAGTTTAAGAAGTTTAAGGGCAAAAGATAGCACATGCTATAAGAATACAGCTTAAACATGGGTGAGTTGACATTCAGAAGGAAAAAAATTGTCCTGTGACAAGGAGGAAAAAAGACTGCTATATTGTTTCCTGGTTACTAAAGACAATTGCCCAGAAATAGGTCACCACCAGGAGTCAACCAGCTTCTTGATAATATTTGACGGTTTCATCAAATACTGGCCATGGGAGCTGGAGATATTCCTAAAGAAGGAAACAATCTCTCTTTTTCTATCTTTTTTTTATTTTTTGAGACAGAGTCTCGCTCTGTTGCCCAGGCTGGAGTGCAGTGGTGCAATCTCAGCTCACTGCAAGCTCCGCCTCCCGGGTTCACGCCGTTCTCCTGCCTCAGTCTCCAGAGTAACTGGGACTACAGGCGCCTGCCACCACGCCCGGCTAATTTTCTGTATTTTTAGTAGAGACGGGGTTTCACGGTGTTAGTCAGGATGGTCTCGATCTCCTGACCTCGTGATCCACCCGCCTCGGCCTCCCAAAGTGCTGGGATTACAGGCGTGAGGCACCGCACCTGGCCTTTTTCAATCTTTTAAAAAGAAGCAATTTAAGCTTCACAGTGACAAAATTTGAAACTGTTAAAGAAACTGCCAAGAGGAAAAAAATGATAGTGGATTTATAGATACTCTACATGCTGAAGCAAGCAGCTGCCCCAATATTTCAATCTGACAAGTCTTCAAAAGGTAGAGGGCGCCTAATGAATGATGAAAACACTCTTTCAACAACAAAACTGAAACATTTGCAAGAGAAAACGTGCTGTAGTTCTGATGCTTCTTATCAGAGGCAAATACACGGAAACTATGCTGTACTCACCCATCCTGGGTAGTGTTAATTATGTCACAGATGTGCATGAACTGGCCCCAATCTTCAGTCTGAACTCCAGCAAATGTAGCCTTTTCTGCCAAGAAAAAGCTGTTGAGTCTGAGCTACGACAGAATAAAAAATGTCTGGTATTCCTGAAATAATCTGCCTAGGCTGCACTAGCAAGTGTCATTAAGTGTATATTGCCAAAGGGCAAAGTGATTTTTTTTGGAACCGTTCTCAGTAATTCAGGAATCAATCAGAACCCAAGTTCAGAGTGCTGTTGCAGCAACAGTAATGAGTGATCTATTAATAAAGACTGCAAGCACAATACCTGGCCACAGGCCCAGGCCAGGCCAGCTAAATCTCCACCTGCCTGGCTTTCAGACAAGGGAACTAGGGCTTAGTGAGCAGCTACCTACAAGGTGAACTGCATAGTGCTATGTATTTTATCATATGCAATCTCATTTAACCCACTGTTAGAGATGATGAGACAGAAGTTCAGAGAGGTTAGGAAATTACCAAAGTCATACAGTCAGTATGAAGTAGAATTGGCATTCAAATCTAGGTTGTTTGGTCTCACTGTTTGTTTTTAAAAATAATTTATTCTCTGGGGGGACAGGAGGAAAGAATTTTTAAAGGAGAGAAGTAATCTGTTGGTCTTAGGAGCCAAAATATTGGCATAACTCCAAATAAAAGTAATATATTTATTCTCCTATCATCTTAATCTCACGATTCCTTCTAATTTTACCAATTATTATAACTTCAACCAATACTTACAAAGACACTGCTTATCTCGATTACGTAAAAACTTCCATTGCATACACTTTTACTATCAGTCTTAATTATTTCAAACTGGCACTGAGTAACTATCCAAACTAATAATAACAAGCATCTAAACTAACCACAGCTGCACCAGGCTGACCAGAATGCTTCTGCACTTGGAACCCTATCATTAGATAATCAGGCAATACAAGATGTTACCTGGAAAGGGTAATGGAACACTCAACATGAATGCGCTAACATCTTCCTAAGAGAAAGATAAGATCCCTAAGAATGAAAACACAGGGTTCTGGGGGAAATGGAGAAAAAACCAAAAAGGATAGAGAAGGGAAAGAAAGAATAAGGACTTGTTTCGGGGAACCCCAAAGTTTGGCTTGCTTTCAATCAAGGAAAAGAACCACTTGAGGCCGGGTGCGGTGGCTCACGCCTGTAATCCCAATCACTTTGGGAGGCCGAGGGGGGTGGATCACCTGAGGTCAGGAGGTCGAGACCAGCCCGGTCAGTATGGTGAAACTCCATCTCTACTAAAAATACAAAAATTAGCTGGGCGTGGTGACGTGCGCCTGTAGTCCCAGCTACTCGGGAGGCTGAGAAAGGAGAATTGCTTGAACCCGGGAGGCGGAGGTTGCAGTGAGCCGAGAGCTACTGCACGCTAGCCTGGGTGACAGAGTGACACTCAAAAAAAAAAAAAAAAAAAAAGCAAAAAACAAACAAAACTTGAATTTGGCACCTAATGGACAAAGCTTATCTTCCTAGAAAACTTCCATTCACCCTTAAAAAGCCACAGTAGAATTCATTTCTCCCTTCCGGTAAGTTTTGTGTGTTTTGCATTTTCTTGCATTGCAAAGGTGCGGCACAAAACCGTGCCGTCTTCCCTACAAGAAAATGAGTTCCCTCAGGTTTGAGATCATGTCTCACCTTGGCCTCACCAGTGCCTGATCCAGGTCCAGACACATAGCTGACAGTTAGTCCATATTTACAGAAATAAAAAATTAAGCAGATGAATTGCTGAAGTTTCTTTTGCCTATGAAGATACAGTCGGAACCCATTTCTGCTCAGGGTTCATTCTAATATCCAACAAAGCACAGCCATCAATGGAAAGCATCTCCTCAATGGTAGCTACTCTGACCATTTTATAAAGATGTGTAAACTAAGGTTCTGTTTAAGTGGTGTGTTCGGTGTCACGGCAGTTAGTAGAGCTGTGAGCTAAATTTTCCAAATCTCGGCCTCTTTACTACAACTACTAGGTTCTCAAGATTTCATCACCCCACTAAGTTCCTGACATCATCACACTTTGCCTGGCATTAATATGCACTCGTGCCACACCCAATTCCCAAGGGAGGAATCAGGGAAAAGAGGGAGCAGTGAGCTTGCGCTTGTAAGAGTCCAATCACTGGCTTCTACATACATCATGCAAGGTACATTCGGAGGAGAGAGAAATCTTTTAGGTGGATGCCGGTGTAGTCCCTAGCGGCCTGCAAGAGACCTCCGTGCCCCCAGATGGCTCCTCTGTTCCCCTCCTCTTCACTCCAATGCCAAGCATTTTCATTCTCTTTGTTTACCCAGAAAAGCAATCCAGGTTGTATAAGCTTGGCACTATTGAAAACTGGTTTGGGGAGACCTGCCCCTCACAGTAAGGTCACATCACTTAGTCTCCCAGAGCCGCCTCTTCTGATCTGTAAAACGGGCATAACAATACCGTGCCCTAGAGAGTGTGCGTTTAGGAATAACTTTCCCCTGGCCGAGAAGTTTCTGGTGTCTCCTCGTAGAGGCACAAATACTCCATGCCTGACTCCCGCGGTTCACCTGTTTGGTTCCACTCCCCAGGAGGCATCGAAAGGAAGGTACATTTTTGAGGACTGCGGGTTCTAGAGTGAGTTGGCCAAGAAGGAAACGGACGAAAGGGGGCCGGGTGGAATGCGGGTGCCCTGGGAAAGTTGCTGGGGGAGGGGAAGGATTTTCTCCAAGTTGGACTAACTCCGTCCTCTACAGGCCGAGAATGGATCAAGCAGGAAAGGATCCCACGGTCCCCTGCCTGCCTGGGCGTCTCTCCCCGCGCCTCCTTACCTATGAGGTGGCCCACGGAGGTCGCGTAGGGATCCCGGTGACTCTTGCCAAACGCCATGGTAGCTCCAGAGGGCCGGGCCCAGGAAATCCGCCTCCACCGCTCTCTGGCTCCCGACTCCACCCGCTCGATACCCTTGGCTCCTCCTCTTCGCCCGAGCGCTTCCCTGGCTCTGGCGGAGGCGGTGCGTTGTGCGCTGCCGCCGCGGGGCGCGGGTACCGAGCGTGAGGAGCGGGGCGCGGGGCAGGGACGCTAGGGCGGGGCTTCGGGACGCCCCGCGCACCTGCAGCGCGCCCTGCGGGACCGGCAAGGAGGCGTCGCTGCCCGCTGCAGGTGGTACAGGCGGGCAGCGGTGGGCGTATGGAGCCTGCGAGAGTGGCGCGGCCGCCCCCTCGGATCCCAGGGGGGCTTTTCGCCCCGCGCAGGAGGAGCAGGAAGCCCAAGATCTCCAGCTTGGGAAGTAGAGACCCAGGCTTCGATCCCGCCGCTTGCTAGGCAGATTGTCACTCTTCTCTGCGCCTCTTTGGCTGCCCTTGGTAGACCAAAGATAATAAGGGGTTAATAACACAAATTCAGAATTGTGAGAATTAAGGGAAGGACGTAAACCGATTAGGTCGGTGTCTGGTACCTACAAAATAGTTAACCACTGAATAAATTGAATAACTAGAAATGTTTACCCTTGACCTGCCTTCGCCCTACAGATGCGGGAGGGGAGGTATGCGTCCTGCCCTTTGAAGCTGTAGGTAATGTCTAGGAGGAAGGATTGGGTTCGAAGTTAGGGCTTCCCAGGAGCAGGCCCTCTTTGTGTCTCTCCTGTTTCCTCGAGGGACCACAGGGCGCCGTGACGCAAGCTCTTGTTTTCTAACCCCACTTTCTGGGAGCCGTGTTTTCCAGCCTGATTCTAAAAATGGGGGAGGGGCTTTCCGTTTCCTCTGGCAAGGGTGCTGCTTGGTTTTAGGCCTGAGTTTGAGAAGCCCAACACCTTTCCAGCTGCCCTTTCGGAACCAGAATTTATTTATTATTCCTTTGCATTCAATTAACATTGAATTGGCGATGTTAACAATCTCCAGCTGCCAGAGAGTGATGCGTCCCCAGGCCATGTCAGATAGCCATAGATGAGCTCCTGGTGCTTGTAGATCCTGTTTCCTGTAGTCTAACTGGCACCCATTTCAAGTCTGTTTTTTAGCCCTGGATATGGTGACTAGGGAGACGAAGGGGACCTGTTTTGACTTATGTCCGTGGTCTTGTGAATTTTAATATAGAGATCAAAACCAATTGCCATGCACTCCAAGAGGCTAACATTTAATTATTTATCTCGAACTCAATTATTTATAGTTTTTCTTGACCGAAGTGAGCCAAAACCTGGGATTCTAAAATCTGGAATGAAATATTCTTGTTGTGATGATATTTCTCATAATGGGATTTGTCTCATCTGTAACTAATATTCTCCACCTGCCTATTCAGGGCGAGTAACTATTTCAGATGGTGCCATTTATCAACTTCCTTAGTCATCACTACAGCCTCTGCTGACACTGTTGAAACCCTCTTTTGTGACATCACCAACCTAATCTGTATTCCATGCTACAGCCTCTAGCAAAGTGTTTTGCCTTTTCTGCAACCTACAATCAACCTACAATCTCTGAAAAAGAAAGTCAATTTTAGCTTAGGACAATGTTGGTGTCAGTGGCCTTCCATCAGATAATGAGAACTAGGAAGGAACCAAGCATCCAGAGAGATAGATTTTTAACATACTTCTATGTGGGAGATTTTTCTTTTCTTCTTCTTCTTCTTTTTTTTTTTTTCTCCTATGTCTGCTTTCCTTACATGACAGGACTCAGGCACTGAGAAAGAGGAGAAACAGTAGCAAGAAGTATCTTCTGGACTTGATGCTTGGGTGAACAGAACCCAGGTTGATGAGTACTACCTGTGTTCTATCTCAGCAATGCCTGGCGGAAGTTTTTCTCTCTCCCTGTGCCCTCCAGGGTGTTACGGTGGTTGTTGCAGCTTTCTTGTGTACTCTGTTCCTTTCTCCATGACCCCTCTTCTCTCCAGGCATGAAAATCCACATGGTTAATGTTAGTAAAGTCTAGCAGCGGGGACAATAGAATTCACAACTAAGTTGAGGTCAAAGAAGGAGCGGAATCCCACAGGGGTAAAATGACACCAGGAGTAAAATCTTACCACAATTTCAATTCCAAGAACACTTAGTAAACATTTATTTATGTAAACTGTGCTAAGTGTCTGCAACTAGAAATCTATCTTAATCTTCACAGTCCTGGGAGGTGGGTAGTATTAACCTCATTTTTACAAATATGTAATCTGAGATTCAGAAAGATCAAGCTCATAAATGGCTTGACTAAAGTTTGACTCATGGCTGCCTGGTTCTAAAGCCTATATTATTGTCACTAGGTGAATCTGTTTATTGAGCCTGATGTGTTACTTTTTTAAAGGATCCGCTTTAAAAAGTAGTGCGAGAGTTCAAGAAGTGCGAGACCTCTTGAAGAATACAGGAATATGGGAAGTCATATACTTTGCTGGCACAAAGTTCTGCTTTTTTTCTGTTCTTGTTCAATAGTGAATATTTTCTGTGCTAGAACTATATGCCAGATATGTTCTAAACATATTATATGCATTATCTCATTTAATCACATAATAACGTTGAGACCAGTACCATTATTACTTTATATTTCATATTAGAAAAACCGAAGTAATGGCTGGACACGGTGGCTCACACCTGTAATCCTAGCACTTTGGGAGGCTGAGGCGGGCAAATCACCAGAGATCAGGAGTTTGAGACCAGCCTGGCCAACATGGTGAAACCCTGTCTTTACTAAAAATACAAAAATTAGCTGGGCATGGTAGTGGGCGACTGTAATTCCAGCTACACGGGAGGCTGAGGCAGGAGAATCGCTTGAACTCAAGAGGCGGAGATTGCAGTGAGATGAGATCGTGCCACTGCTCTCCAGCCTGGGCAACAGAGTGACTCTGTCTCAAGAAAAAAAAGAGGAAAAAAAAAAAGGAAATAATTTTTCCCATAGTCACATTGCTAGGGAAGGACTGTCTAACTCCAGGACCTGTGACTTGAACAGCTGTGCTATCATCTTTCATGGTAGAGCTCTAGATGGTAGGTGGTGCCCTTCACTAGTTCACATTTTGAAAGAAGTGGGTTCTAGGGGGCACTGTCTATAGAATGAAGTGACTGAATTTGGCAAGTACACCTGTGTAGAAGACAAAGATAACCCACCATCACGATTCTTGCAGCTAAGAGATTGTTGCCTTCTCATTTGATTGTTGTGTGTGTGTGTTTGTGTTTGAGGTGGAGTTTCACTCTTCTTACCCAGGCTGGAGTGCAATGGCGCAATCTCAGCTCACCACAACCTTTGCCTCCAGATTCAAGCAATTCTCCTGCCTCAGTCTCCCTAGTAGCTGGGATTACAGTCATGTGCCACCATGTCCGGCTAATTTTGTATTTTTAGTAGAGAAGGTGTTTCTCCATGTTGGTCAGGCTGGTCTCGAACTCCTGACCTCACGTGATCCACCCTCCTCAGCCTCCCAAACTGCTGGGATTACAGGCGTGGGCCACCGCACCAGGCCTGTTCCTTGTTTTAATATTTAAATATGCTCCCTATAACCCTCCCCTTAGTATATCCACTAGCCTTCTCATTATCCTTCTCTTTTTCCATGGGACTAGTTCCAAACACTACCTACTCTCTGCCCCAACTCTCCCACTATAAAAACGAACTTTCATAACTATGTGATCTTCAGCTTTAATAGTCATCCCCATCATCTTTGACCCTCTGCACCACTCATGTGATGGCCTTTCATTATTAGCCAGCCTTATCTTTCAGGGCACTTCTCTATCCCACTTTTTTTTTTTTCTCGCTCTCTCTGACTGCTAATTCTCAGTGATCTTCATTTGATTCCATTTTTCTCTCCATTCTGCTAGACCTAAGTGAGTCTCCCCATACTTCCAAGGTCCGCCTTTTTCTCTTTCTGCATTTCTCTTATCCCACCTTCTCCTTGTCCCTTCTTTATGAAGTCTTTTCTGACAACTCCCAGAAGAATTGAACCCTTCTTTCCTGTCCCAGGTACAAATTTCTGTCTTATAGTCCACAATACATTATATCACTGATTTGTTTAAAAATCTGTTCCCTGCCTCCTAGATATAGGTCCCACAAAGGAAAAGGACCCATTTGTAGGACTTGGTGTCCTGACACTCAACAGCCCTTAAGGGATTTTTTTTTTTTTTTTTTTTTTTGTCTGAGACAGAGTTTCACTTTGTCACCCAGGCTGGAGTGCTGTAGCACAATCTCAGCTCACTGCAACCTCTGCCTCCCAGGCTCAAGCGATTCTTCTGCCTCAGCCTCCCAAGTACCTGGGATTACAGGCACACGCCCCCACGCCTGGCTAATTTTTGTATTTTTATTAGAGACAGAGTTTCACCATGTTGGCCAGGCTGGTCTCGAACTCCTGACCTCAAGTGATCCTCCCACCTTGGTCCCCCAAAGTGCTGGGATTACAGGCATGAGCCAATATGCCCAGCCTAAGGTATGTTTATTGTACATATTAATGAATGGCTCTTCAAAATCTTAAGTTGTTCTGCCCTTCCTGATATCCAGCCCTTAATTCCCTCCTGGATGCCTTGTTGAAACTTGAACTCAGTATGTCTAGAATTATACTCATCCTCTTTCTCCATTATCTCAATATCCTACCTTACTTGTTTTGACTGTAGCAGTCATTCTCAACCATATGCATAGAAATTCCTGGGTTGCTGTAAAGACTGATGATATCTGGGTCCCACCTCAGAGATTCTGATTTAACTTGTCTTGGATGCCTCAAGGTCATAAAGAATTTTAAAGGTCCCTGGATGTGCTAATGGTACCATAAATTCCCAAACAAAATCTTGAAGTTATCCCCAACTTTCATTTCAGTCAGTTCTGGATTTCTCTATGTTCTTCTTTACCTCTCTTTCTCTTTGCTTTTCTTTTCTGTGGACACTGTCTGTCCAGAAATTGTCAATGTCATAAGCTTTAATACTGTTTAGGGATGAAACTAGATTGAAGTTCAGGCTTTCCTGAACACGATCAAATATCCCTGTGCATTTCAAGACATATTATTTCTCCTTAAAATAGACCTTCTTTTGCACAATGTCTTGCCCATTGTTTTTGAAAACCACATGTACACAAATATATGTTCATTTTATTTCCATATATATATATATAGAGAGA